CAAAGGGAGGCTCCGACCCCAACACGCTGTTGTACAGCACGTGGGAGCAAAAGGGTGACGGGGGAAGCCCTGAAGCTCCTCAGCAGCAGGACCGACCTCTCCTGGGGCACTTCGAGCACCCACGGACGTGCTGGCAAACACGGCTCTCACTTGTTAAACGGTGTTGGCCTGGGTGCCACGAGCGGGAACGGTCCAAGGGAGGCTGCAGGGAGGTTGGCACCTTGGCTTCTCTGCCCCTTTTGCAAGGAAGCTCTGCCTCCCTAAACGGAGGAGCACGACTGCGCGGGGATAAGGATGTGTGTGAGGGTCGGGCGGCCCTTGGAGGCGCTTGCCCTGTGGTCCATGGACAGGGGAATTCCCAGCAGGATGCGGAAAAGCGATTCCCAGGCACGTCCTGCCCCCAGCTCATGCTGCACTTGGGTCCCCAACAGACCCTGAAGCCATGGACCAGGCAGGGTACACAAGGAGGTCACTGCAAGGTAAGGAGAAACCAGAAGAACAAGGACAAAAAGGGGGGAAAAAATCCATCAGTTTAGAAAAGAGGCTGGGAATAGGACTAGGTGCTTGGAAGGAACCTCCTCAGCATCTGTGATTTGAGTTCAGGAAAAGCACCCGTATCTTGCTGAGAAACAGGCATTTTTACCTCAAATTTCCACACACTCCAAGCAGAAGAGGTCTAAAGGCCAAAAATGGGAAAATGTTCCATACCAAACCTCAGCGGACTGTGTGAGGGGAAAAGCGCTCAGTTAATACAGTACTTCATTATTTCTGTGCTTCTGGTGTTGTCACCAGGTTTATGTAGGAGTTGTGCACATTTCAACACCATCTAAGCAGCATTTGGAAGGAAAAAAAGCAGCAAGTTCCTCGGGGTTTCCATAGCTCTGAACTACATAAACAGAGGTGCTATGGGGCGTCTTTCCAAATTCCGATTAAAACAATTTTGTCTACGGCAGAATTCCTTATTCACCCACCACCCCATCAAAAGTGCTTGTCCAGACAACCTGAATTGCACTGTATATGTAAAAACTGGCATTAACCTTTAGTGTTTAAGTGAGATTTTAGATAAACTTTATCCATTACAGGTTACATGGCTAAAGTTATCAAATATAATAAAATTTCTACTGGAGAATATACTCTGAACTTACAATCTTAGGAACTTACAGAAGTTTAAGTATGGCCACATCAATCAACATGCAAGAAATTCCCAGGTTTACATACTGAGAAATATATAACACAGTGCTTGTAAAAACAACTTCAGCATAGATTCTTCTTTTTAATTAGGACTGCCACGTGTTTTCTCACTAGATTCAATGACCAAGGAGCAACCCTTTAAAAAGGTGTTTTTTCATTTGCAGCAACATTGAACTCGATGAAAGAATAAATGATAAAATGGTAAGTTTGTATCACAGCAAGATTGAGTTTGGACAATACAGAATTCTCAGTCATGTTTGAGCTCTCAAGTTTCACACAATTTTTTTTTTTCCCTTTTTTAGCATACGCTCACTGGACTAAATCCCTTATATTTTAGGTCACTTCTCTGAATAAATATTCTTAAGCATATTGAAGGAATCTATTAACTAGTCAAAAGAAAAAAAACATAAAAATACTTTTTCAGGAAACAGATCATTTCACTCGAAAAATTTAGCTCCTCTTCCAGTTTGTTCCATAGATATTAGATTTTATTATAATGGGCACAGCAGTAACTAAAATATTAGTAAAAGAACGAATGTATTTTTTACTTACGACTTGCTGTGGGTATTTTGTGCAAACAAAAAAACCTCACGATCTGACTCGGGCACTAGTGAGATTTCGCATAAAAGGGCTTTTCACGGAAACGTGTCAGAGTATCTAAAAGATGCTGTAGAATACCAAGTTCTACTGTAAAAGAATCTCCAAGGGAACAGATATCCAACTAACATGTGCTTTCGTAAGTGCCCTTAGCTGAAAAAATTTCTTTGCAATAATTAAGATGCTGGTATACTTTTCCTATTACACAACCTCTTACACAACCACATGCGGTACATTTATAGACAGATTTACAATCAGAAAGGATTTTGTTTTCTGTCTTGATAATAAAATTAGTGGGGTTTTGTTTCTTTTTTTTGCTGTTCTTGTACAAACGCTAGTCCGGCCCACGTCGCCTCCTCACGCAGCGCTCCTCGCCTCTCCCCGCGCGGGTCAGAAGAGAATCCCTTTGCAGCAGCTTCCCGGGAACGAGGCCGGAGCGCCGCGCTGCTCCGGCGCACCCCTCGCTCCGGGACGGGCCCTCCGCGCCGGGCGCCCTCTCCCCTTCCCCGTCACTCGTCGTCGTCATCCTCGTCTTCCTCGCCGTCGGACAGGGACGTGCACGGGCGGATCTGGCGGTAGCGGTCGAGCCACTTCTCCACCATCTGGGTGACCAGGGGGTGGTTGCGGCGCCGGGAGCTCTTCTGCATGGCCACGAGGACGCCCCCCTCCGTCACGCAGCAGTCCAGCCATTCCCGGAGCAGCTTTTCCTGCTGCTCTTCGTTACCTATCTTTAGGAGAGGGGAAAGAGAGGGGGAAGAGTCAGCAGCCACCAGCAGCAAGTTGAAAGCCGCCACCTGCGTCCACGCGGTTCAGGGCAGACAGCAGCAGCTTCACAGAGAGCCTACAAAAGAATAACTAAAAGCCAAACTGATGTGCACTGTGTTTTCAACCAAACAACTGCAAAGCTTCAGGATTTTAAGTTATTCTCCCCTTCTAAATGTTTTCAAGTATCTCCAAGTTTTTCAATAGCCCTCCTAGGTTTCGTTTTTTTTGCAAGCAGCTGTTTATTTGTAGCAGATAGAGCACAAGGAGGATGGGTCTTGCAGGAACCTTCTGGCTTTGCAAAGCGGTTTCTAGGAGTCTAGCAGTACTTAACACTGAACACTTGCTCTTATGAGACATCATTCACGTTGGCTGCTGAAAACTCCTGCTCTGAACTTGAACCTGTGCTTCTCCTTCACCTGCAGGACGGCTGCTTTACACAACAGCTTCAAGCCCGCAGAGTCCAAAGGCCACAAGATTTTACAATCCTGCTCTGCTTTGACCACATGTAAACCTTACTGCAGTGCTTCCCTGTCACTGTCAGTTATTAGAGAAGGAGTAAGCAAAGTTTCAGAAGGGAAAAATAAAAATAAACCCAGAGATCCAGACCTTGCTATGACCCCAGCTGGGCAAGCTATCGGCGCTGTACGTTTTTCTTACCTCTTGAGCAGAAAGGAAGTGAATGTGCAATAATTTCCTCTCGCTGTCAACCAAGGGTAAAAAAGTGACAGTAACGTCGTCGTCAGTGTTCAAGTTAGCACCGGCTCCTCGGTTGCCGTAACCATCGTTCTCCATGGCAACCAGCGCGGAGAAATGGCCCCTCGTGTAGCCCAGAGCAATGGGACTTTTCCAACAAAAACTCTGTTCCCATAACAAAGGCAAATATACACCTAGGAGGGAGGAAAACACAGGTAAGAAGGGCAGTCCGCAGCGAGGAAGCGTTTTGATGAAAAATAGCTACCTGGTGCTCTGGGCTCAGCACAGTTGACACCGGGACATTGTGAGTGTTTAATACAAACTTGGCCTGATCTACACCCGCAGGGTCACGCATGTCATCGGGCGAGATCAGGAGAGCAGCAAAGCAGCTTGAAGAAGGGACACCCACACTCAGACACAGCAAAGACACTATCCTGAAGGCCACCCGCACCAGTTCTGTGCCTCAAATCCCGAGGACACTGGGGTCAGTTGCCTTTTCCTCCCTGTTTAACTTTAAAAGCTGCATTTTCCTGCACTAAGCACACGCAGCCAGGCTGGGAGAACGCTCACAGCTGTGTAAAATGGATCTTGCCCTGCCAGACCTTTAAGGCAGCATTAGGAGCGAGCTGCATTCCAGGAAGCACAGGGCCTCGGTGCCGGCATTCCCAGCAGGAAGGGCTGCCCAGCGGGAGAAAAGCTCCCGATTCCCCCGGTCCACGTGTGGGAACATCCCGTTACCTCCCGGCCACACGGCAACGAGCGGGGAGCGTTTAACCAAAACTGTATTTATCCCCCTCAATGCCCAGTCTGAAATGGGAGTATTATGCAGACCACTCAGTCCCCAGGTTACACCTGTGGGTTGGGATACAACCCAAACCACAAGTATTGGATCTGCACATTGCTAGTCACTTACCCCAAAGTGGATGCTTTTATCACCTTAAATATAACATGCAGCTACACAAAGCAAGTATTTCACCTGGCACCAAAAACAACAAATAATCCTCATTCATCACAAAGACTTTCAACTGCCCCAAACTGACAAGCTAAACAGCTTCTTAAGTAAATTAAGCCTAGACAGCTTCAGAAAAATCGGTGTTCCATATCTGACATTAATTTTGCAGCCTGGTGTTCTTCAAAGTATTCTGCATTTACCAACTATAGATAGAGAAATGTTTAAGTGTTAGCACCTAAAACACAGGTGAGCTGCCCCAACACACGTATTTGGCTTGCAACTAGAGCACACATCTCCAGCAACCCACAAACACCTGGCTAAGCAAAACGGGACTGGAGTCAGCTGAACAGAACAACATCTTCATGTTTATCTTGAAAACGGCTGGGCTGTTTGCCCAGGAGACTAAGAGAGAGTCAGCAGTAACCTGATCAAGGTATGAAAATTATAGCGCTGGCTGAGAAAACAGGTCAGTACTGACACCGTGTTACTCGTAAACTGTAAATCACAAACATACCAGATAAATTAAAGCTAGATTATGGAATGTAGCTGTGCAGAAAGTGAGCCTTACGTTTTCAGTTGCCTAATGTTTTGTAAACACACATAATAAAGCTTCCCAATCTCATTCCTCAAACAGGGAGCTGCTGGGAGAGCTTTTACGAACGCAGTTCCTTCCCGGTGAATCTCTATGACATATAGTCAATAAGTTCCCAACATTAATGAAGTACAAAAAAACACGAGTATTATTTTCTCTATTCCCACTTGAGCATTCACACGCTCCTTTCCTTTCTCTTCCTGCCTTTGCACACCCTATGCTCGTGCCCTGGTGCCTGGTTTTGTTAAGTTTTCACTTCAGGTGTCACAAAGCCACTGATGAAGAGCACAGTGAGGGGAGGGTAAGTGTAAGAGCTAAAGGCTTACCTTGAAAACGGGTATATCCTAACGTTTCTCCTCGGAAACTCTTATAATATTTTACTCCATAAACTATAATTGGTCTTCTAAGAATATGTGCAAGTACAAAAATGTGTGTCTGCTCCAAACTTGCTCCAGGCTGCACCAAACACAAACAAGACAACACTTGAAACAGAACATTTTTAACTTTTCAATTTGAAAACTATTCTCCAAGTTGAGGGAGAAAGCCCTTTTAGGAGTAATCTAGCCCTGGCAGGGAGAAACAAAAGACCGAAAGATCATTATATGTTAGAGATGAACACAAACATTTCAGGTCACACAAAAATTTAATCTGTCTATAATAATTCTTAGTCTTATCTCCCAGATTCAATCTGCCACATTTCATTCTCTGGTTAGAAATGAAGCTCTGCATTATGTTTAGTCTAAAAATAACTCTCTCAGCCAAAAAAAATTAAGGTAGATACCTTTTAATGACAGGGAAACAGCACATCAAAAAATAGTTATGATAAAGTAATGCCCAAATCAGGCATGTACTTTAAGGGAGGAGTTTAAAAATAATGCTGTATTTGCAGGCTTATAGGAATCTAACCTGTATTTTGGAAGGCAGTAGCAAAATGCCAGCTTGGTAAAGTGTTAATAGTTGCAGAGTACAAATTTGCAGGCATGTTCTTAGAGGTGAGTGTTGTAGCAGGTAGAAGGAAAACATTAAGTAGACAATTGTGCATCTTCAACACACACAGTTTGCTCTCCAGACTTGGCTCTGACACCAAGGGAGCCAGATTCTTTTCAATGTGCTTTCACTGCTTAATAGTAAACTCAAAAAATGCAGATTCTTAAACAAAAATTTTTTTACAACACAGCAGCAGGACACTACCCAGTATTATTTAAAGATTGCCTTCTTAACAGGAATATTTTCTGCTATAAGAAAAACTCTTATTCATGAACATCATTCCAAGATTTGGAAATTTCAATTCCAGGGAACTAAAATAACCTTTAGATCAGCAAGCTTACAAGAGAAGTTCTCACCTGGCTCGCAAGAGAGAGTATGAATGCCCAGTCTTCCTGCCACTGCTCCTCTCGCAATGAGAAA